CATTCCTTCAGTAGTTCGTTTTTGTTAACGGCTTCTCGGGAAATGAGTACTTCGAAATGGCATGCAGCTTTACTTGATATCTAGATAGAAATAATACCCGTGGTTTGTAGGAAATTCTTTGTATTACCTAATGCCTTTTTTGAAAGCTTTGGATGAAGAATGCTCTATTTTAGTACAAATCACACATTTCAATATACCGCCATATTGAAGCATGACTTTCATGCTCGCTTTTCACCTCATGACTTCTTCACCAATCACATCATCTGTCTAACCTCCGCTTCAGAAATTTACGATTGTCAACCTTCTCAGCCAAGGGAAAACGACTTCGTAAGAGGTTTTTCTGGAAGCGATTGGGATATCAGATTAGTTACCTGCTAGCCTAACTCCTAAAGGAAAGGAAAGCACAATGAAGCCGCGAGGCCTCTAATTCGCATGGCGCTGGCCAGTTATGTGGAGAGATTTTATTACTAGCACATGCATAGCACAAAGGCCGATCAGTGAGGATGCTGTTTCATGTCCAGATCGTGGCAGCTCTGCTTTAATGAGCTAACGGTGATGCATATAGGATTGGCCCGCTTATGCTATGCCTGAAATTTGGGCATCAGAGTTGTACATGACCTCTCGGTTGGACTATGCTGTATTCTTTTTAATGAGTCTTGGAATAGACAACCTTGGCAACTGTCTTGCTCCTTAACCTAAAGTTGTTCGGTCCCATTTTTGCGTAGGATTGCAATTCGCTGCGTGATGCATCCCAAAGGACGTGCTTCCAGACTGGGCAAGAGTTTTATGCTTGCGTCGTCGTCTCATCAAAAACTCTTGAGTTCATTGCAAATAAATATTTTAGGTGTCACCTCGGAAGTCGCCCCGACAACAAGACCATGTTGCCACAACGAGGTCAACCTACTTCTAAGAATTTTAAGGCTCATTTTCAGCTTAGCGACAACCAAGTCACAAAAAATCCTCTAAATTTGAGGCTATTTCGAAAGATATCTTTACAGCCCATAAATGCTAACGGTGCTACTGATTTTCACTTAGCCATGCTTTCCAAAAGGTTTTCTTATCCAGATCGGACTGCAAGTTCGTTGTCATTTTCACAGGTTAGCACTCCTATCTACACAACCACGAACGCGAGTGGGTCACAGGGCAGCTGCGACTTTTAGGGCAATCCACACCTCGTAAGAATCACATTTATACGGGATATTTCTCCTTGCAATCGAAGATATTACCTATTTTCCATGTAAGTAGTCCTTCAACAAGGCTTTCGACAGGAAAAAAGAAGATTATATTTTTAATAGGGGTCGATCTCCTGCTAGGCTGAAAGGCAAACCAGTGCTGCTCTGGGTCGTTCTTTACGTGAAATTGCCATAACTTTTCCTAAATTGCCTTTCCCTTCTCTTAGAGCCAAGAATTTGGTCCCGGAAACCCATATTTGCGTCTAAAATAGTCTACTTCTGGTGTACGTGAAATCTGCTGACTCGTTCTAAGAGTTTGCCTTGTATGTGGCTATTGCTAAGCACACAAAGAAATCCGTAATTCTTATGAGCAAGTGCACTTACACTGAGTCTTGTACCAATTGTTAGTCTGGCATGAATGAAACTAAATTATAGATTTTCAGCCAGTAAGCATTCGCTTGTACGACTAATCCATGCACAGATTGGGTTTACACTTTACTTTTAAAGAGACAAATACGATTATTAATTGTTGAGCCAAACCAAGACTAGCTTACCTGTCAGAAGATTTGAGCTTCAAAAACGTTTCTAAGCATTGCCAACACTTTAGACCATAATTTGCTATCACCGGCACAAATGTCTATCCCGAGGGTTGTAGACCCTTCCATCTTGCCCGGATAAACGTCTTACTTGAAATTCTCGATTGTTGTGATCAACTTCACACTGCTATCTGCAAAAATAGATGCACACCTCTATTGACGAGTGAGGGCCAAACTAGTATGCAAACGGAGATACGGACAGAAGAACAAACAACAAGGACGTTAAGGTAGACAGCCCATTTAACAGATAGCTGGATAGACTAACAGACGAAAGGACTGCCATAGCAGATAACTTTGTGAACCACGTTTCATTATTTGTCTTTATACTAATCTAATACTGTCAGATAAGAATTCAGGCAGGCATAGGGATGCCCTTGAATGCTCCTAAGTACTCGGCATAACAGAGCAATGACGACAGATAAGCAAATAAATAAATATACGGGCAACTGAATAACCATGCGGACTGTAAACAATAGAGATTAACTATACATGGATAAGTAGAAAATGCTTATTGCAAATGCAGAATGGGTAATTAGACGGTAGTTCAGAGATTTGGTCATACCAGAATGGCATAACTCTTCGTCTGGTTGCGGTCTTCTTTAGCAGCGTAGCTTTGACTTGACCCCTGGTTGCACAAAATCTTTAAGGATTTATGAGTGTGGCATCCATTGTAAACTGTTAGGTCTATTCCCAGACTTATCAACTGCATTATGACGCGTCAAAGTGACAAGGGGAGCTAATTCCGTCGGAAAAAGCCATGCCAAAGGTGTGCGCCACTCTGCATACTCAAAAAAGTTTCTATCACTTCAGATAAACTGGAGCTTATTCGGTAAGAGATAGAGACTTTGCTATTTGAAAAGAGAGTAAACTAAGTTTATGCGTTAAGGACTATGGAAGAGGATATACAAAGGATCTTGTACTTCGCTTGTCAATTGGATGTGTATGAATTTGCGATTGGTATGATCTATCGGAATGAAGATGGTGGAAAAGTGCCTAATGATGATCTGATTCAATACGGACAGACGTCAAGAGGCCACAAAGTCTGGGCTCCAAAAGATCCACTTGCAAAGATGCCGATGAGCAAAAGCTAGATTTCGAAGAATTAATTAAAATAAAATAAAAAATTCTATTGACAATTTCCCATCTCTGTCCGTCAGTCACGAATTGTGCGTGTCACTCTGAAGGGCTTCTTGTCTCCCCCACTGATTGGCAAATAGAAATATTGACATATCAGTTGTATTAATCCTATTTCGTTTAGGGTGATGAATGACTGACAGTTCATTTTTCCCACAATTATATGATTAGAGCTGATGTTTACATTGAAATTCACAGCCTTGCTTTCTCAAAAGTTGTTATCATCCAGGGTCAACTGCAGTTTCGACCTCACATCGGTCTTATCAACACCCCCAGCGGGAGTCGAACCGTGACAGTCAGCAAAGAATATGATATGGCAAGAGGCCTGGCCTTCCTTGCAATTCACATTTGCCCTATTGACCAAAGGGCACTCGTGGCAATGTGGCTGAGTGGTTAACGTGACAAGCTCCCATCGTGCACTGTCGCGGTTCGACTCCCGCTGAGGGTGTTTACAAGACCGATGCGAGGTCAAAACTGCAGTCCACTGGTGTCTGGATTAGAACAACTTTTGGGAAACGAAATAGGGTGAATAGATTTTATATTACTGATTTACTGGTAGTCTCAAAACTCTACCCAAACACGAAGATTATAGCAAATATAAGTTTGTTTCATCGACAATCCCAACACAGAATGTGGTGTGGAAAATGCCTGACATTTCTCTGACCCAAGGGTACATGTGACAATGTGGCGTAGTGGTTAACGTGTCGAGCTTACACGCTGCCTTGTCATGGTTCGACTCCCGCGTCGGGTGTTGATAAGACCTATTCGAGGTCGAAACGGCAGTCTGCCTTGGATGATAACGTCTTTTGGGAAAGCAAGGCAACGTGAAATTCAATGGAAACGTCAGCTCAACTTATGGCACTGTGGGAAAAATCAATTACAAGTCCTTAATTACCATGTATGTAATAGGGTGAATACAATTCATAAATATGATTTACTGGTAGTCACGACAACCTACTTACTAAAGAGGAAAAATTGACAGATTAGGACAGGGGTCAACCAATCAGATTACGGCATTCCTAAGCAGAAATAAGGTATGTACAGATCAGGCTGAGATGCCTTCTTTGCATAGTGCTAGGGAGAATTAATAGTTTGACCCGGATAGCTTGTCAATACTTGAATAACAGTAAACAACCCGGCATAAGTAAATTCATTTTAAAGGATGACATATTCAACTTAGAAATAAATAAAGTCATAGATAATAATGGCAAATATATGTTAGCCGCTCAAGAATCGTGCATCGATTATAAGTGCTAGTTGCGAGAGACCTGACTTAACTTCAAAGTCACATACGCCATGAACTTTCAGTTATCCACTGGAACTTCTAACTATGCGTCAAAGTGGTAACGCGTCGCCACGATTTCAAATCCTGTTGGAGGTGAGGCCGAATTCCTTTAAGCGACAGAGGATGAAGAAGTCCTTGTTGAAGAAGTACTGATAGTCTCGAAGTAGTGAATACCGGATAGGTTTCGTAACCTTGAGAGAATCTTGCACAAGAACTTTAAAGTGATTCTGTTTTTTATTCAAGCTATTCTGGTAGTTTATGAAAATACCCATGCACTATTTAGTAGCGCCGTTTATAAAGATGGATGATACGGATTGGCCTTATTGACGTGGATCCCACTGGAAAAGGCAGAATTGGAGTTTTTCTTGAATGTCGCATCTTCTCTACGATCACCGGTCACCAGGGCGGTAAGGTGAAGTGGCATCGTCGCTCTTCAATGCGAATGTTCGGGCCAGAATCATGTTGAGGGTGCGTATGAGACGATGTGGCGAGGTTGTAATTGCAGGCTCAGCATGACTTATTGAAGATTAGGTCTTTCCCATGTCCTTGTTCTGATTGGATTGTACATGCTTCGTTGAATTTAGCATCTTCCCTGAGGTAGCATCTCATTAGGGCTGTGGGGTGGAGTGGAATTGCCGACTTGTAATGCGAACGCTTGAGTTTCGAATCCCATCGGATGTTCTGATAAGAAATAAGCGAAGTGGAAACCACTGTCTAGTGCATAAATGCCCTTTATCGGTCTACCGAGATCTGGATTTCAATAAAAATCGTATATTATAGTCGAAATATGTCTTTTTGAATAATACTTGCAAATGACAAGAAGAGCAACTGGGTTACGAAGAATCTCCTGAGATTGCATTGTCGCGAATACCTTCATTTCGCACGAAAATGCATGAGGTAGGGATTCGAAGGTCGACCTCACCAGAAGACGACGTCTGAATCCTGTTGTACTGCAGCTGTTTGGCCTTAATACGATGTCCAAACTGACGCAATTCACGAGATATCCTCCCTCGTTGCATGCGAAATGTACGTTTTCCCAATAAATTAAGTGAAATCAGGGTTGGTCTGAGTTTCAGGCACTTCTCGAATCGGCCCGAATGAGGGGTCTGTCCAGTCGGGGAAGTATGTTCTGTTTCTGGACCACCTCGGCCTAGGCCGAATCGAGAAGGCAATTGAGGTTGCGAAATTGTGAATCAAGAGGAATACTTATTTTCGACTCATGCAAAGACTTGAGATTATTTTTCGTTCGTAAGTTGGTTTTCAAAACGATCAGTAATTCAGATATATGAGATGTGTTCACCCTAGTTGCTTTCAGGTGATGAAGTACTGGCGTCTGAATTTACCTAAGATCATGTGTATTGTCCCCACGTTTGTAATCAGTTTCACATATCCTTGATTTTAGAAGGTATTCGTATTTAGGTTAAACTGTAGTATTTACCTCGTCAAGGTTTCATCAGCATCCAGCATGGCTGTGCAGCGTATAGTCTCGAAATGTTCGAGTCCCCCTGAAAGTGCTGATGAAACCTTGGCGAGGTCGATGATACAGTTCTCCCTGGATGCGAATTCCTTTTGAAATCAAGGCTATGTGAGACCGATTACAAACGTTGCGTCTACTCACATGATCTTGGGTAAATTAAAACACCATTCTTTGACCACCTTAGACGAAATAGGTTAAAAACAGCTCATACTGCGGTTGTTGCCGAAGAAATGCCAATGATCAATTGTGCTACCCCTCTATCTAAATGTCTTTTTACTTACTTTTGACACCACAATTGAAGTAAAATCTAAGAATCCTTCCCTGGTTCAAGGGAGGCTCTATCACTTAGTCAATGTGTTCGGAGCGAAGTATACTTGAAGCCCCTTTTCGACGGCCTTATCATCGAATAAAACGGCGTTGTTCATTTGAATCTCGCACAGTCGTCTTTAAAACAGGTCTTCATTTTCCACTTGGAGGAATGCAAACTGAATGCACACTAATTGCCTCGATTACATTTTGGCTATCAGTTAGTGAGCCGTGTACAACTTGTACACATTATTCCCTTCCCCTTTAGCAAACGTTTATTGACATTGTGTCCTGAGTGGACTTGGGTTACTTTCATACAGACGCTATATGAAAGCGAGAACAAAGTGTATTTCGAGGGAGGCCGCAGTTTTCGTTTTTTCAAGTCAACATATTGACAGGTCTAGACGACTTCTTAAATTAAATGCGCACTACCTGAAGGCCAACAAACCTAATCTATTCTGAAAATATTATATCTTGAACGACCACTTAATGTCCTTGGTTCTCTATCGAATTTTAGTTTTCTATTTTCCCAAAATATACCCAGTGAGGCTGGACTAAGCAGCATAATTGCCGATTTGATTTCATCTGTGACGCTAAAACATAATTCTGAAGCGGAATTTCTTTTAAACTAACATGAACCTTGCCATCCACATATGCTAGACAAGGTGAATTGGGGCATGGATAGTGATAAAACCGAGTTGAGTACACAACCATGAGAAATAACGCCTGGAGTATAACGGATACGGTGACAGAGGCAGAGTGAAATGAGTGAACCAAATTGGCACAGCTCCAGACTAACGCATAAAAGTTGTGCTCAACCTATTTCGTTTAAGATGATGATCCCTGTTTTTCCAAAAGTTGTCCTCATCCAGGCACCAGTGGACTGCAGTTTCCACCTCGGATAGGTCTTATCAACACCCCAGAAGGGAGTCGAACCATGACAGTTCAGAATGTCAACGTGGCGCGTTAACCACTCGGCCACATTGCCACGAGTGTCTTTGGGTCACGGGGCAGATGTGCATTTCGAGGAATGTCATGCATTTTACATACCAGATATTTTTTTGGGACTGTCGATGAAGCAAGCTTATATTTGCTATAGCAATCGACGATATTAAAAAAAAGTTAGAAGTTGTTATAGCAAGCGTTTCAGGTACGAGGAGATGGAGTAGCCTGATTTACCAT